CTCATCTTCACTCGAGGATCCTCAAACCTGGTTTCTAAACACAGACGCGCTCACAGGCACTGGGGTTAGCCCTTCCGCGTCTTCTGGGGTCGGGGACACAATTCAGCCCATACCCCGGAGACCTGAAACAGCTGGCACCCCCCGTCCTCAGGGGTCCCTAGGCGCCCACCACCCAGCCTGGCACAGGCTTTAACAAAACAAAACAAGACAAGACAAGACAAGACAAAACAACCCTGGCTGGTGTAGCTCAGTGGATTGAGCACGGACTGTGAACCAAGGGGTCTCGAGTCTGGTTCCTGGTCGGGGCACATGCCTGGGTTGCAGGCCAAGTCCCCAGTGGGGGCCACATGGGAGGCAACCACATATTAATGTTTCTTTCTCCCTCCCTTCCCCTCTCTCTAAAAATAAATAAAACCTTTAAAAAATGTTAAAAAAAAAACAAAAACAAAACAAAAAGAAGGGAAGGAAGGGAAGGGGAAAGGGGGGCTTTGAGTGACCTCACCACACTTTAATCACTTTGGTATTTCCACTTTCTACTCCCTCCCAGGGAGGGAGTCCGTTTTCTTTTTTGTCTGTTTTCTTTTTGAATTGATAAACTACACGCTCATCATATGAAATAGTCACAAGACATTCGGAAAATAAAAAGGCAATTAAAAAGTACCATCTCCCATTGTAATTCCTAAAACTAGCGCTCTGATAAATGGGCGGTGGTCTGCGTTTATAAACGTGGTGTCCCGTTGCACGGTTCTGCATCACGCTATTTTTACTTCGCAGTGTGCTCAGGGTATTAGATGGCTCAGAGAAATAATGACCAGCGGAATAGCTTTCTGTAAAAGATTACATGTGAATAGATTAAAAAAGGAAACAAATTAAAAATCTGTCAAGGCACATTTTGAACAATGCTTTTCAGGCAAGAGGGAAATGAATCTTGAAGTAAACAGACACCCACAGAGCCAGGAATCCCCGGGGGCAAACACACGGGGTCGGCCAGCGGGAGCCCGGTGGTCTCCGTCACTGGTGGCACAGCAGGGCTCTGGGGGCCCTGGGCGGGCCCGGCTCCCTACGGTGATGTCTGAATAAACCAGGTTGGCCCTTGGGGATCCCAGAGTATGGGTTTTCTCCAACGAGCCGCCTTTTCCTCCTCCGGCCAACGCCTCTCGGTCCTCCTCCCTCTGTAGTGTGCCTGTGATGTTGCTTCGGCGGGGGGTGGAGCGGGGAGCGGGAGGGGGAGATGGCCCGCCCCTCACAGGGTGGAAGGCCCCTGTCTCTGGGCTCCCTGCACACTTGTCCCTGCTTCCCACTGCTCCCCTGGACCGCGCCCCTCCGAAGGCAGCTCTGAATCCCCTTCATCTCCGACCTCCCGGCGCTGGCCCCGGTCCGGCCCCCGACAATGGACACGAAGGCCCCTTGGTCAGGGAAGGCTGGCTGAGCCCGGGCTGGGTGGCTCGGTTGGTTGGAGCATCATCCCATTCGCCAGAGGGCTGCGAGGGCTGTGAGTTCGATTCCCAGAAGGGGCACGTGCCTGGGTTGTGGGTTCGATCCCCAGTCAGGGAATGTACGGGAGGCAACTGATCGATGTTTCTCTTTCACATCGACATCTCTCTCTCCCTCTCTCTCTCTCTCTCTCTCTCCCTCCCTCTCTCTCTCTCTCTCTCTCTCTCTCTCTCCCTCTCTCTCTCTCTCTCTCTCTCTCTCTCTCTCTCTCTCTCTGTCTCTCTCTCCCTCTCTCTCTCTCTCTCTCTCTCTCTCTCTCTCTCTCTCTCTCTCAAAGAGCAACACACATTTTACAGAGGAGGAGGCTGGCTGAGCAGGAACAGGCATCCTGCAGGGGCTGCTTATTAGCATCAGCCACGGGTGTTAAAATAAAAACCTGATCTCGTGCTACGTTCCAAAATACAGTAGAAAGATGGATCTGGGGATCTCAGCTCTCCCATTTACTGTGCGACCTCAGGCAAGTCCCGGGACCTCTCTGGGCCCCCGTCAGCTGATCGCGGAATGGGAGCTGCCCGCCCCGAGGGGCTGTGTGCGGACACCAGGCAGCGGATGCAACAGGTGTAGCACGACGCCTCGCACTCCATCAGAAGGACGGACTGTCGTGGTTACCATTAGGGGTGGAAGCTGCCTGTCCCAACTGGGCTGCTCCTCTTCTTTCCCTGTGGCCCTGTCCCCACCAGGCTTCCCTGGTCCCCACCCGGCTCTACACAGACGTTTAAAGGGACAGGATGATGCCGTAGCTCCGTGCGGAGAAAGGGTGGTGCAGGGGATCTGAGTCTCCGGGAAACAATTTACTCTGCCTTTGTTTCTTTAAAAAAAAAAAAAAGTCAGCTGCAAATGATGAATGCTGCTGATTTTCCAAGCTTCAGAGTGATTCATCCACCACAGGATACAATTAAACCCCAGGAGGAGTTTTTATCTTAACCTAGAAGGGGGAGGAGGGCCGTGGAAGCACGCAGAAGGGCCCGGCCGCCCCGAGCTCACAGACGGTATCTCACGGCGGTCAGCACGCAGCTAAGCTTCCCCGGTCTGCCCTCCGTCATCTTTGTGGGGGGCTCCGGCTGCAGGGAAACCTGTCAGCCATGGAGAACAGGGAAGGGGCGCGAGGAGAGCAGTCCCGCCATCTAACACCTGTCAGGGTACCAGCAAGGGTGCATGCGGGAAAGGGGTGTGTGAGCGCCCCTAATTTGACGGGCTCAGCACCATACGGTGCCCACAAGCCGAGCCAGGATGTACCACCCTCCCCTTCTGCCACGTGGTCTCTTCCCCGGGGCCAGGACGGCCCCTCCTCCGGAGAGAGAAGCCCTCCATTCCCTCTCTGGGGGCCAAGGAAATGGCGCTGCTGCTGCTGCTGCTCAGCCCGCACCCCGTGGAAGCTTTCCTCCAGGCCCGCAGGTGCAGCTGTACCTGGCAGGGTAACCTGGATGGGTGTGCTTGCTCCTGGCCTCGCGGTAACCTGCAGGGCCCTCGTTGTGGTCCGTGTGGGGAGACGCCAGTCATCTCGGGTGGTTAGCTCTTCAGCTTCCTTTGGCGCCACCAGCAGTTTAAGGAGTTTGTGGGGGTTACAAATCCACCTTGTTTTCTGAGTTCGTTACCCATCTGAATCTCCACCGGAAGCCAGTAGGCTAGGGTGCCCCCAGAGCAGACGGCCGGGGTCCTGACAGAATCTTAGCACGTCTCCCCTCTGCACCCAAAGCGAAGCACAGCACCCATCCTGAACCCAGTCTCTCACGTCTGGACTCCAGATGAGAACCCCAGTCTGTAACCTCCAGTTTGGAACCTGAACAGGGGCTGTTGGGAGGTGTGGACTGACAGGTCTGGGGCCCTTGGTCGTGCGCACCCCATGACGGAAATGCAGGTTTCAGCCCGAGGACAATCCGCACTGCTCTGAGCGACTGGCGTTGTGTTAGGACAGAAACCTGCGGCGGGGGCACAGGGAGACGGCCGAGATGAGGGGGGGACGGACACCTCCCTCCTCGCCTCGACGGTGCAACCCTGCCCTCCGCAGCCACACGCCGGTCGCAAACCGTCTTGTCTCGACGCCTCCGCCCTGCTCTGCCGCGCTGTCCGTTTCCGATGCCATGCCGGCGCCCCACATGCCCAGGCTAGAGGACGTCGTGGGGCAGGACCCCGGCGTCACACACTTCACATCGAATGGGTGACCGCACCCGGCAGGCCACAGGCCCGTGGACTAAACACACGCCTTTGCCATGACAATTGGGCTTCATGGTCGTATTAACATTTTGAAGACATATTTATATCACGTAGTATTCTACAATGCAGGACAAAGTAGGTCTAGTACTCAAACCACATCAGAAACAGCAGAATTTTATTTGCAGGTTCTGAGTTGGTGAAAGAAGAATAAGATATTTCTATCATTTTTTTTTCCCACACGAGGGAGTATTTTAAGGTTTAAACAGTAACAAATTGGATCAGGAGTAATCCATTTGGACAACGGTATGCAGCTTGTATTGTTTTGAGTCAAATTCAAATCCGATTGCTCCCTTTAAAGGTTTTCAGAATGATAACAATAATTTTGGACTCTTGGTATGATCTAAGGTTGCTGAGATTTTTAAATAGCTCAGTTTCAAAGGGCTCGTGTTTTAAAAGACGCCCATGCCCACATATGTAATTACTAATGACTAATGCACTGCATTTTCTACGGTTGAGAACAGGTCAGGACTGAAGGTCAATCAACAATGAGACTCAGCGCTAGACACCCCATTATCCTGAGTCATCTGTTTTCGTTTTCACTTTTGAAATTCGGGCCGGCTGAGTTAGTCATGCTCAAATAGCCTAGTACCATCACACACACACACACACACACGCACGAATGTATATAAGCCTCAGGAAGTCCGAGTGCGGTTGGTGAACTGTGCCGGCAACGGCTTCTTTGTTGGGGGACACGCCGTGGCGATGCGAGAGGCGGCCGTCGTGGGGAACTGGCTGAAGGGCATGTGGGACCTCCCTGTATGATTTCTGACAACGGCATGTGAATCTACGGTTATCTTGAAATAAAAAGTTAAAAGAAGCGAGAAAGGGGACAGCGTGTTACAGTGCCATCCGTCTTTCAAACGTGTGTGTGCCCTGCACATCTGTATGTATCAGAGACGCACCAGCACCCGTGCTCACACGGGTCTTGTGTGTGCATTCCCGTGCCTGTGCATGTCTGCAGGGACAACCGGGAAACCGTTAACGCCGATTCCTTCTGAGCAAGAGAACTAAAAAACGCACCGAACGCGCACTCATGTTTCATAGGCTGCCCTTTGTGCCGGTTGAATTCTGTGCTGTTGGCATCATTCATTCAAAAACCCATTTTTTAAGAGGGAGGACGAAATAGATGCTTCCAACCCAAACCAAACAGACAGAAACAACGACAAAAAAAATGCAGCGAAAGGCACAGCAGCGCAAGCCCCGTGACGCTGTCTGCACGCCCGAGTGCCCGCCCGCGGCCCCGCAGGGAAGGCGCAGAGGGAGGGAGAAGGGGGGACAGGTAGGTTCCTTACGGCTGGAGATGCAGTAGGACAGCCGGCAGTTGAGCCTCCGGAAGAGCTGCTTGTTGATCGGCCACAGGACGAGCGAGAAGAGCTGAATGGTGTTGATGATGAGCCCCGAGGCGATGAACACGTAGCAGAAGACCAGGTGGCACAGGAACTGAGACTTCAGCAGCCCCACGAGGTCCATGGCGGGCGGCTGCTTTTACTCCCGGCGCTGGAGAGGCCCGCGGCAGAATCTCCCCGGGCGGAGAGACGGTTCGGGACTCAGGGACGCGTCTGAAACACAGAGCAGTGCTCAGCGTCAGTCAGGCGGACTTCCACAGGGGAGAAAGCGCTCGCCCTGAGATGGGACCCGCTGCGCGGTGGTTGGTGGACCCCTAGTTCACAGACACGGGGCTCACTTAGTGTCAGCCACAGGCTCAGCCCTGGAAAGCGAAGAGTCCCCTTCACCGTCCTGACACCCTGGGAGGTGGGCCCTGTTCTCACGCAGGGCGGGACGGAGACCCTGAAGGGTCAAGCAGCTGGGATGGCGTCCCGCGGCTCCTGCCACGGGGAAGCGGCCCCCCCGGCCAGGGGCTCCGCACGTCACTCTGCCAGCTCCTCGCTCCAGTGGGGGTGCTCCCCGCACCGTCCGCACTTCTGGGTCGCCCGCCCCACTGCCACCTCTGCCTGGATGCCGCACCCACCAACACCCCTGCCCTCCCCCCACTCACCTCATCCCCCAGACCCCCCTGCAAACGTCCCTTCTGGAAGGACCTCCCTAAAGTCAGAGTGCTCCGGGTGAGGTGTCAGGGTGACCCCGGGTGGGCTCTGCCTCCCAAGGCCGCTGCACTAGTGGGCCACTTCGTACACCCCATCGGGTACCCCCCCACCCCGCGCCTGTCAGCTCTCCGGGGCACTCGGCCGCCCGGAGCATCCTCGGGGGCTCCCCAGCACGTGCACACGCATGCAAACACACACACAAGCTGCACACACAAGCTGAGTTCCCCCAAAGGGAACTCAGGGCACACGCAGCAGCCAGACTCACATCCTGTAACCAGTCTCCGACCCAAGACTGGAGCAACAGGAAGACTCTACGAGTGTGGCAAATGAGGCCTGTGGGGAAATGAAGCGTAGAGGCAGGGGATCCAAATGCTCCAATGGAGAGGACGGAACGCGGAGGGGATGGTGCACGGCGGACTAACTGCTCCTGCGGCAGAACGCCGTTGCAAAGTAGCCCCGGGAGAGCTCAAACCCCAGGACTCACTTTCTCGCAGCAAGAGTTGAGAGACCCTAGACCTCGCTACGATCTCCGTTACTAACAGCAGAAACACCTGTCATCTCGCAGATGTGGTCACATGTTAAGCCTCACATGAATCCCGTGAGATGAGTAGTAGTGCTATCCCGTTTTTCAGAATACGGAGCTGGGACGCCCACACCGGGGCGGTGTGCCCCAGGTTGCACCACAGATGCCGGCCTGAGGACTCAGCCTCAGCTCCAGGCTCCTTCCCCCAGCGACTTTCTGGGCGGCTTTGCTCCCGGGGGTGCGGTGGGGGTTCTCTTGGGGGCGAACCTCCCTTCCACAGAGAGCCGCCCAGAAGTGACCTCAAGGGCAAAAAACGGTGCAGCCTTCAGGGACATTCACCACCATGAACCACACCCGGGCTGGGGACACGGGGCCTGCTCTGGGCCCGGCCCCCCAGACTGGATCTGAGGGCTGTCTCAGGCGTGTGTTTCTAACGCACCAATGCGTGCTTCGGCGATCTGGAAGGCACGCTGCCTGCCTGCCCGGAGTGGAGGCCCGAGGCGGCCGCTGAGTGCTTACAAGGGCAAGCAAGGGCAGAGCTGGGTTCTGGATCTCTGGGAGTGAGAACAGCCGAAGGCGCCCGGAGACCTAATTTGACTGTCTCTGGGACCATCTCCGACTCAAACCCCTCTCAATTAAAAACTCATCATCGTCTCCCGGCTTGGCAGGGGCCTGTATAAAATTAGCTTATTTTAAAATTTGATGGCGCTGTCCTGTGTCCGAGATCCATGTACAGTACGCGACGTCCCTTAACACAAGCCAAACTCCAAAGGAGTCTTCAGTTGCACCGAACTTTTCCATCGCGTCCTCTAGTAAATGACCCTTAGCCTCTCTCTCAAGTCTCATTTTAAGATGACGAAAACTGAAGTCTACAGAAAACTGAGAAGTCCAAGTTGACCTGGAATAGCTGCTTCTGAGTAGCTAATAAGAGGCAAGCAAATTCTGAAGGGCTTGTACGTCTAATCCGAGGAAACCAAGGCTCCGTGGTAAACGGATGAACAAACTCAGCAACTTTCTCTGCCACGAGAACAAACAAACACGGGAGGACATTAAATTAGGTCTCCTCTAAGGCCTGCGCGGGCGTTCACATCCAGGAGAGTAGCACACCCAGAGGTAACCCCAGGGGCTCTGACTGGCAGCCAGGGCAGCAGGGTCAGGACCCCGAACGGTTCCCATGCACCGCCTCAGGGACCGCCGTCAAAACCTCCCATGGAAGGTACTGTTATCCCCATTTTACAGACGGGGAAACTGATGTTTAGGGAGACAAGGTAACAGGCAAAGGTCGCAGAGTGCGTACATGTCTGAAGCTCACGCTCATTCACTTGACCGCTGCTTATGGAACAGGAAGCCGAGTTAGCCAGACTGCACATGACCTTGGGCGTCCACAGGCCTGACCGTTCCATGCGTCATCAGTTCCTGGTTCCACTGCTGACCGCAGAGATGACCACGAGTTCCCGAGCTGCTGTCCTTCCGCCCGTGGGCTCCACGGAGGCTCCGCTCCCAGGTGGGCCGGCCACCCTCTCCGAGCCCAGTCCCGCTGCCCCAGGTCACGGGGTCACAGGGTCACAGGGTCACAGGGCACAGACAGCTCTGAACTCCGCGTCTGTGCAGTCTCGGGGAGCCAGCCGGCTCGGTGCACTCCCGGCAACCGTGGGTGTGTGAACCACCTCACAAGGTATCTGGTGCAAATACATTTTCAAGTCCTGCTCACGCCACGGAAGTTTCTAAGAGTTTTTCTTAAGCCCTGATAAAAATCCAATTATCACGGAACCAAAAACTGAGATGATAGGAAGAAAATTGGAAAGTTAATCTTCCAAAGGGGGAGGCAGCCACACTTCTGCCTTAAATGAGTATGTTCCAGTTAATAATGAAAACTTTTCAGAGAGGACGGGACAGTGGGATGAATTTGAATCAGAATCGATGTCTGGTTCGTCATCACTGTCGCTGCGGCCACGCAGCGGTGGCCCTCGGCCCCAGCATACGCCGGTGAAGGCCGCACATACGCAGAGGCCGAGGAAGGCCAAGGGGCAGCTGTCCCCTCGTGTCAGGCCAAGTGAGGGCAGTGGCCTGAGAGCAGCCCCGGGCCCAGAGCAGCTGGAAGACACCGGAACCAAAAAAGGGCACCTACCAACCACCTCCTACGCCAGGCCGACCGTTACCAAGGCAACTCGGCCCGGACTGCAGTGGTCCAGGCCTTCCCACACGGGCTGTGGCCAAGGCGTGTGGGGACGCTGCAGGCAGACTCGAGGTTTAACGCCCCAGTTATGACCTGTGTGGCCTCGGGCAAGCCACTCACCCTCTCTGAGCCTCCGTCGCTGCCCCTGTTTGGTGGAGGTAAGGACGCCCGCCTCCCAGGAACTCTAACCGCCCACACCCCACAGCTGTCCTCTCCCATCAGCTGCTGCGCCCATGCTCGCGCCCCCCAGCCTCTGCCATCTTCTCTTCCCAACCTTCCCACCAGTGGCCCGAAGGGTCCGTTTCTCTTGTTTGTTCCGGTACGGTTTTTCTCACTGGGACATTTCTTTTTTCTCTGCCACCCACACAAGCCAGGGTGGCCCCGAGCCGAAGTGACTTGGGGGTCGCCGACTCCCAGTCACAGTTTTAGTCCAAGGACTGGGTCCCCATGCTGAGTCAGCGGCTTCCCCAGGAAGGCGGCCCCGGCTGTGGGTCCTGAGGCTGTCCGCACAACCAGGCCCCCCCACCCCCCGCTCTGTCAGTCCATCCGTCCCCTGGACAGATCGGGCCGGAGACGTGAGCTGAGCGCACCGTGAGGGCCTGGCTTTCGCCCGGCGGGAGACACACGGACCCTGGAACGGAGAAGACCCTGAGCTTCGTCCCTCTGGGGCCCTGTGGGTGCACCCGACGGGGCCTCCCGCTGGGGGTCTGGAAACACCCCGGGCCCCTCGGGCACCAGAGGCAGGTGGGCCTGCGCGCCGGGTGCTCTGCACTCACTGGAAGCAGTTGGGGGGGGTGGGGGAGGCACTTCTGAGTCGGTGAGGCCAGGCCGGCGTCCGGGGGCAGACAGACGTGTGCTCAGGCTGCTAGGAAATCCCAGCCCCTCGGTTTTCTTTTCATAAAATCTGATCTCTGATGTTTCAAAATACACCAAAGACAGATGATTAAGAAGCCTTTAAGCCCTGGCTGGCGTAGCTCAGTGGACTGAGCACGGGCTGCGAACCAAAGCGTCGCAGGTTCAATTCCCAGTCAGGGCACATGCCTGGGTTGCAGGCCACGGCCCCCAGCAACTGCACATTGATGTTTCTCTCTATCTCTCTTTCTCCCTCCCTTCCCTCTCTAATAAATAAAAAAAATAAAAAAATAAAAAAAGAGAAGCCTTTAAAATGAAGACGGATGGCAAAATTCAAGGCTGTGTTGGCAATTTCCTTAAACTTATTTTATAACTTCTTATTTTCACTTCAGTGCCCACTGGGGGAGGGGTGTCGCCCTGACCCTTGCGTACCGGGGCGCTCTGACCCGAAGTGGGCCCCCGCGTGGCCGAACACCCGCGGAGGACCGGGGCCCGGCCGACCGGAGCGGCCGAGCCGGGGCAGCCAGGCACACGGTCCGAGTCGGTTCCCAGGACAGTCGGGAAGAGCTCACGAGCCGCCCAGTCGGGCCTCGCCCACCCCGTCCATCTGTCCATCCAGCTGGCAGCTCCATCGGGAGTGCGACTCTTGACCGCGCAGGTAAAACTCAGGCGAAACACTGCACAGGACAAAGCCCCGTCCGTGGGCCGCGTCACCAGCCTGGGACGAAGGGCCAAACCGCAGCTCTAAGCACCGCAGACTGGCCCCTCACACGGCCGGGAAGCAGCAAAGCGGTGCTGCGCCAAGCTCGAAGGTGCGAGCAGAACCACCAGGGCGCGGAGGCTCTTCCTGGAGGAAAACACGGGTGTGGGGCTTCAGTGGATCGGGAACTCACTTCCCGCCGGCGTGGGTCCACTGTGTGGGGCCCTGCCTCGGGCCCCTGGAACCCGTGATCCCACTAGTGG